CAAAATCGCCTTATCTCGCCGAGATAGGACGATTTTGGGGTTTGGGCAAACCTCCACATTCAGCCGGCTGCTGGCACGGTCAACCCCGGCTGCTGGAAAGGGATGATCAGGGTTGCAGTTTCAGGTAAGGTTTATCGTGCTTAAAATGCAGCGTAAGAGCATAGAATCCTGCATAAATGCACTGTTTTGTATGTAAGTTCTTACGCCGGTGTAAGACCCTGGATTCAAATCTGACGAGCTTCGAGACTCTAATTTCTTATTAAAGAAATTTTCTTATCACACTGCTCCCCCGTGGTTTAAGATCTAGTGTTGCTGATATGCTGTAAAACGTTTTCAACATCGATGCGCGGCAGGATGATGCGAAGCGGTCCAAATCAGCTGCTTTCAGGACACACGGCAGCAACGCGAATGCTAGTTTGAACGTAGCAGGGAATGCAATGTCCGCCCGTTAAGGAGCAGACTACTCACGTGAAGAAGTAGTAGCTGTCGAGATCGTGGTTTAGCCGTGTTGGGCAAGCCTCCAGTAAGACTCTACTTACCTGCACGGGCGAAAATCATTCTCATGTCCCGAGATTATGAAACGCAGGAGAGTCAGCGGGATCGTGAAGGCGTGTGAAGCAAGCTCTCGTTGCACAGAGCAAGCAGCAGTGTAGCGAGAAGCAAAGTGTTGCGCCTGGGTTACAGAGACGGGTTCAATCATCTTGTTTGCCATCGTTGACAGTTCATCTTTGTGCCGGACACTGCTGGCTACTTCTTTTGGTCATGTCCTGAGAACTCCTAATGCTCGGCCTGGCCACATGGACCCAGCGCTCTTTTGACACTTGGTGGAGGGCATGCCTCTTCTACCTGGCGACAGGTCACTTGCTCAGATCAAGACGGGTTCTTGCGGCTCGTGAGAGTAGACGTGCTATCCGAGTTCACGCTGGATCGAGGCATTATGCAAGTGACCACGTTGCCACGGATAGCTGAATCCTTTTGCCAGGCAGAGCTGCATCTTTTTCGAGGGATTGTCGTTAGTATGCATGAAACACACTGGTAGTGAATGCTATCTGCTATTTGCACAAGCTCAGTATCACATCTCGTGTGACGCTTTCAGAAGTCTGAAGATGAATCGCAGGTGAGAAGAAATGGGCCAGGGCCTGATAGTTGTCGGAGGGAATTTCTACTTGTGCTTGAAGTCTTTTATTTCCAGATCGAGCTGCTTCCAGGACGTTGTGCACTGAAGACTGCCCGGATATGCTGCTTCTTTGCCCGGCAAGCGAGTGTTTCGGTGGTATCTTGGCAGCAGCTGTCACGAGGGCTTGCGAAAGTGGACACAGTGCGGCAGCAAAGTCGAGCTTGCAGAGTCTTTGGTGCAGCGTGGAAACTGCCGGTAGTCGGTAGTTCTGCTTTCAAGAAACTTCAGACTGCCCACCTAGATGCGATGAACCTTACCTGGTACCAGGACTGGTATTTTGTTTGCATGTCTGCTTCACCGTGGGGCCGTGTGAACCTTCAGGAGGCCAACACTGCGAAGAAGTCCTACAACCAGGCCCGGTGGGGCCTGCACTTTGAAGCTCTCACTGGGGAAGATCCGCGTCATGAAGGCCTTCGTGGGAGCCTCCCTGAACCAGGACAGATGGGTGGTGCAAGGGCCCAGAATTTCAAAGTCTCAATAGCCAAGCCATCTGTCCACAACTTTGTCCCTGAGCTTTGCCCTAAACTCTGGCAAATGTCAGTTTACTTCGGAGGCAGCTTAAATTCGTTCTCCTTCTTTCTGTACTTCTTTCGTCTTCCCGTCGCTCTCTCCCTCTCTCTCCCTCGCTCTCCCTCAATCTCTCTCGCTTTGGCCCCCTCGCGCCCTCTGCCTCCCTGGATGCGATGCGCGGCCGGGAACCAGTGTTGATCAGTGTTGCGTGCATGTAAGCTCAGCCATCGTGACCAGCCTTCTGTTGGCAAGCCCCACATCCCGCAGTCAACGTAGGGAGGATCTGCCGAAGCTCGCAAGAGCAGCATCGACATGACACGCAGGGCTCTTTGTGAGCGCCTTCCAGGGAAGGAGCTCGGGCCATCTTGTCGTTCCAATGAAACTGGCGAACCAAGCGCACGCCTGCAGTCCCGTGCCGTGCTCGTGTCTGAAACAGCCGCTTAAACCTGTGCCAGCGTACACCTGGCATGCAAGGTTGAGAGGGTATTGCCGCGTGTTGCCTGTTTGCTCTCCTTGGCTTCCTTATCCACGCTGGCACGGCAGCGCTGTCTGTCCTGTGCACTCTTGTTGCTTAGCAAATTTTCTTGCTGTAGTGGTGCACTTCAGGTGGCACTCTTGGTCTGCAACCTCGCAGAAACCTGACCGGTTCTGTTCCACCAAACTACACAGAGATCGCATCAGGGAGCCAGTGGTCGAAGGACGTAGACAACCGTTCCAGCCAATGTTGCGGCATCTTGCTGAGTTGCGGTATTTCAGGGCGCCAATTATGAGAGAGTTCTATGAAACAGTGTGCATGCAGTGAGTCCTTCAGAATCGCACAAATCGGCACAAATTCAGATCATGATTAGAGCAAGCTATCTAGTCCTCATCGGGGAGCGGCGACGGCTGCTGTCTTACATCTCTCACGAAGAGAGCAGTAGAGGGAGAGATAGAGACTTGCCCTCATGGGCCTCTGGGACAGGAGTGTCTGAACATGATGCAGTTCGCCACAAGCCCCGCCAGAACCCAAGAGTCCCTAAAGTCCCTAAAGGGCCCTGAAGGGCCCTTAAGGGCCCTAAAGGCTTCCGGAGTCTCCCGTACCGTGACAGGTGGATGCAGTTCATCTCATCTACACGCGGAATAGCGATGCGACTTTAGCGGTCAACGAGGCTTGGGGCGCAACTTGTCGGTCTAAGCTTGCTCACTGATTGAATGCGGCAGGATTGCAAGGTGTTAAGTTGTCGTGTCCTTGCCAATGCAGCTGCGAGCTGAGACCGCAGAGAACAGGTAGAGAATCTTTTCGATTCTGAGATGTGTCCACCCAGTTATACCTCATGTCGGACTTGGAGAATGGTGGAGCTAATTGCACGAACCAGTTTGAGATCAAGTCGCCGGCTGCCCAGGTAAAGGGGAAACTTCAGACATATTTTGTCGGTTTCGCTGCCATTGCAGAGCGCTTCCCGAGGCCCGAAGAAGCGAGCGTCTGTCCTTGCTCGAGCTTGCTGGCCGAGATCGATTCCACGGTGCAGCGGTTCCAATGGAGCTTTTCGGCACCCGGAAGCTTAACTTTCAGAGGTACAGGCAGAGATCGACAGCGTGTGCGGCTCGCGACTCCTGCAGAGTGCCCAGATCGCTGCGAGAGAATTGGATGTGCTCTTTCTTCAACAGCAGCCGATGTTTATCTTGTCGGTGGGATTGCAGGAAGGATGGATGCGGCAAATATGCTACTACGCCAAGCTGTGCCCTGAGCGGGAACTGCGGCTTTGGGTTCTTCTCGCAGTAACTCAGACATATCTGACATGCGCCTTCTACAGCGCAGTCGCTCTTTGCATGCGACTAAGAGGACAGCAACTCCCGGTCACACGCTCGTTGCACAGACGGACATACGTGGAAGGCCGACGTAATCAGTAAGCTACACAGATTTGAAATGCTGATCCAAGAGAGGTGCTGGGTAATGGCAGCTGCATTGCATGCAGCTGCACTCAGGTACACTGGTGTGCACAGTTACTTGATATTGCTTGATTAAGCTGCTAACGCACGTGGGTGAAAAGTGTGATCGTCCAAAGAGAGAGAGGAAGCTTAATGAATCCGATGGCAGCGTTTAAGGGTTTAAGAACAATTACACTGCCGCTCACATATCGAGTCCACCACTTGATTGCTCATGGCTGCTCGCATGTGTTGCGTGCTGATGCCAATCGCTGAGTATTGGACCACGGGTGCAGAACTCTGGATTGTTGTAGCTCGCCTGTTGTAGCGCACCTGAGCGTCGCCTGAGCTTCCTCTTTTGAGCATAATTTACACATGTGTGCATGGCATAGCTGTTGGTTGCTACATACATGCAGACATCATCATACGTACAGGAAGAGAGGCACGCGCGTTTGTCCGCACCCGGCTCTATTACTACGGTTGGTAGTACTACGCGCTGCTGGATCCTGGACCATGGACCATGGGGGGGAAGGGGGTGGCCGCGGAGCTCCTGACCATTTATGTATATAATAAATAAAGAATATATATAAACAAATATATGTATATACATATATATATATATATCTATGTATGTATGTATGTATGTATGTATGTATGTATGTATGTATGTAGATGTTCCTAAATCATCGGCTAGGAAGGTTGGGATTCAGGCATCAGTTTTGGCGTTCGGTACAGCAGCTCGTCATGGGATCGCCGTGGCCATTTTGGCGTAGCCGATGGCATGTTTGATCGGCATAAGAAGGGGCGAGCAACCTGGACACGTTCGTGCCGGGACGAGGGTTGCTCGACGGACATCATGTCGAATGCGGCCAGCTCGTTCAACGTCCTGACCCAGCGCGACCAGGTCATGCCCGGGTTCCACTGTTCGCTGTTCGCGAACAAGACCGTAGACGCATCAAGGCTGTGCTCGCCTTTTCGATGTCATCGATCTCTGGTGGCCCTAGGGCTCAGCTTTGTCTCACCGGGCCTTCTCAGCCGTGTACATGGCCGATGAAGAAAGACACCTCGGCCACATATGTCGACGTCAAGGTCTTCAGCGGCAACGAGGTGCTCTTTCACTGGGTCTTAAAAGCGTGCCGATCGGACTCAGACTTGTCGGTTCAGCGGCAGTTCTGAAGTTCTGATCCGATCGGCGAACGAAGGCAGTCGTGGTCGCCGCTTTTGTGTGACGATAACTTCGGCTTTGAGGTCGAAGAGACTGCTCAGTCGGCATTCTCCATTTTGCCGAGTGTGTTCACTTTCGGCTCGGCGCTCTGCAATTGTGCTCGGACCACGATCTTGGGGTGACATACGACTTCGAGCAGTTCGTGCACAAGATAAAGAGCGCGCGCCGTGAAGAAGAGGAGATCGAGGCCATTTTGGCCGCGGGAGTTCTCTCGTCCGGTCATGCGGGCAAGCTCATGTTCGGAGCCTCGCAGCTGTGGGGCAAGATCGGCCGTGCTTCTCTGTGGGTCATGTCCCAGACGCGAAGATGGCGGGGGCCTCCTAGCTGGGAATGTCACCGGCTTTGATCTTTGCTCTTCAACATGGAAGATGGTCGTCTACCGCCGTGGCGGATCCCGCTGCATCCCGCCTGTGGGGCCAAAGAAGACTGATCTGGTCTTGTTCACTGACGTGTCGGCCCCAAGCTCGAACCCGGACAATCTGCAAGTAGAGATGATCTCCCCTGTGATCATGTCCAGGTGGTTCCCACGGAAAACGCAGACCTGCATGATCGAGTTGTTAGCGGTGGTCGCTGCGATCGAGATCTTGATTGACCATCATCAACGTAAGCCCGTGTTGATTCGGAACCGGTCAAGGCGGCTCTGATCAAGGACTTCTGGGCTGAGGAAGATGTGTTTGAGCTCGCAGGAATCTTCTGGGAGCTCGTCCTCCGGGCCATCTGCTCCGTGTACATCGATCGTGTCCCGACGAATTCGAACCCGGCACATGGCGACAGGTCTAACCTGCGGATGGGTCCTGTCTCAGGTCTCGCACCCTAAGGGAGTGTAGGCCTGGGAGTATGTGGATGGTTCGATCGTTCGAAGATGCTTGGTCGTTAAGCCAACCTTCTTATGTCTAGATCGGCATGCGAACGATCGGACGGACGGATACTTTCATACTTCGGATATGTTCATCGATGGTCGCCAGTGCGGCCTACGCCATGGTCCCATCAAATGCGCGACCGCCTTGCTGCTCAGTGAGAGTTCGAACGGTAGCGATCGGTATGAATTGATATATATATATACATACATACATACATACATATATATATATATAGAAATATATACATACATACATATTATATATGTGTAGGTTGTGTGTACGCACGATCTTCACCCTGCCATGTTTTGCAATGTTATGTTTCAATTTCACCAATACATGTCATTTTGACTTCAGCTACAATCCTTGTGCTGTTCGATGCATTTCGATATTTGAGGTTGGTGCAACTCGACAGGCCTATGACAAGAAATTTCATGACCTGATGCTTGTTTGGGAACGAGGCTGTGCAATGATGGAGTGGGTGCGCAGGCGGCAGACGACTGGATTTGCTGGAATCTTCGGAAGCGTATCTCGGCTGATGCTGCACTGTGCTTGCAAGACTGGGTATGTGGGACGTCCATGCACCAGCCAGGGCGGAGCTTCCATGCAAAACACCATCCTGGCAAGAGCCACCGACATTGGCAGCGGTCTCAGAGTTTCACGAAACCAGCAACCCAAAACAGGATAAATGCGTGGTGGCTCTAAGGATTCCCTCTTGAACGTGCCATCTGAATCGAGACAGCTTCAGCAGGCCATCGGAAATGCAGAAAGACGGCGTGCCCGAGCAAACAGCCCGAAGGTGAACAGCGATGCACCGCCATGGACCGTCGGCCCATGGTCCACATGCAAGTGTTTTGAGCAGGCTGCTTTGCCGCTATGCTTTGCAGTTTTGGGCCTCTTTTGCTCTGCCCTCACTGCCCTGCACAGTGCATGCCGGGGCTGCGGTCGCGCATCGTCCAGTGTGGCGGAAGCGTGTGCAGGCCAGAAATGCCATCTTGTCCCCATTCCTTCGTCCTGGTTCCTTTGCTCTGCAGGGGAAGTCAGCCTGAGAGCACTCAGGAGTGCACGAATCGGGCCCAGCTTCGACGCTTGCCACTTGCATGACTTGCATGGCATCACTGGGCCGTTCTGCTCCGAGGTGCACACATTGTGCCCTCTGCCAGCATGCTGAGATTGTCTTGAACATAAGCTTGGTCATCAACTTCTCGCAGGCCAGGAGTCCACTGGCCACGAGCGCCACAAAACACTGAGCCGCCAGAGCCGCCAGAGCCGCCAGGCTGGGATGGCGCTCATCCTGGGCCTGGCTTTGGGCTACTTCGGCTCGCTGGGGGAGGACTGAAGCTCGTGCGGCGAGGAGTTTCCAAGACGATAGAATAAAATTGAGTAGAAATTGGAGGCCTGTGGCCTATTAGACCCATAGGGCCCCGCCCAGAGATGGGACGAGCTGCTTGCATTTCACACATGTAGGTGGTTCCACCTCAACACGTGGCTTCAACAGCCAGCAGTTTTTCGTTTGACCTGCTGGCACCCTGTTCGCCTGTGTTCCCTCAGTCTTTGCTTAAGAAAAGCTGGTCTGGATTGTGCCGCATACAAAGGCACAAGAAGTAAGTAAGTAAGTAAGTAAGTAAGTAAGTAGGTAAGTAAGTAAGTAGGTAAGTAAGTAAGTAGGTAAGTAAGTAAGTAAGTAAGTAAGTAAGTAAGTAAGTAAGTAAGTAAGTAAGCAGTAGTAGTGGTAGTCCAATGTGAAAAACCAATACTAGCAACAACAATGAAAAAGGTAACTGT